GACATGGACAATTTCCTGCTGGCTGTGATGGCCTATGACCGGTATGTGGCCATATGCCACCCCTTACACTACACAACAAAGATGACCCATCAGCTCTGTGTCCTCATGGTGGCTGGATCATGGGTGGTATCCAGCATGAATGCTCTGTTGCACACCCTGCTCATGGCTAGACTCTCATTCTGTGCAGACAACATCATCCCCCACTTTTTCTGTGACACGCCTCCCCTCCTGAAACTCTCCTGCTCAGACACACACCTCAATAAGCTGATGATTCTCTATGTTGCAGGGCTGTTAATGATCACCCCATTTGTTTGCATCCTTGTGTCTTATGTCCTTATTGCTTGTGCTCTCCTGAGAGTCTCATCCACGAGGGGAAGATGGAAAGCCTTCTCCACCTGCAGCTCCCACCTGGCTGTGGTTGGCCTCTTCTATGGCACCATCATATCCCTGTATTTCAATCCTTTCTCCTCCTCCTCACATTCAGCTGGGAGTGACATGGCAGCTGCCATGATGTACACAGTGGTGACCCCCATGCTGAACCCTTTCATCTACAGCCTGAGAAACAAGGACATGAAAGGAGCTTTAAGGAAAGTGCTTACCATGAAATATTTATCTATTCAGAAATGTTAAAGGCTGTGAATATCACAGAGGGAACTAATGTCCAAAAATCCTTTGTGTTTTTATCAATTATCTGAAACAGCGCTTGTCTTTTGTATGAAAAGTATGTACTATCCATCCTGGATACAAGACCCAGGTTACAATTCTTTAGGTAAAATAATGATAAAAACTCTAACTAATGTCTTTATTCAGATTGTCTTGTCAATGCCTTGGCAAAATCCACCGTGAACACACCTGTACTTTTCCTCTCGCTGTAAGAGATCACAGCGGTGGGGAATGGGGAGGAGTCTCAATGGGACAGCACTGGAAAGGGACTAATGATAAGCCAGAGCCTGTGTTGGGTGTGGTTGGAATTGGGAATTGATTCCTGTCTCAGATGCGATGTGATTTCTGAGTTGGGATGATTCTGAATGGCTATCTTCATGCCTCTTACCTAGGAGACTGGGCTCTGGATGGTCATGGAGTGACAGCCATGTGAGTTTTCCATCCCAGGGCAATGGGTGCAGTTGTTTTTGTTGGGAGTGGGTGATCCTTGTGCTTGTTTTAAGATGTGGTCACAACATGGTCTTTTGTGTCTTGTGCTATCAATGTATCAGAGGCTGTATTTGCTGCTGATGGTCCATGTAATTCTCTTTGTCCCTTAACAGAGTGCCAGGACCCAGATGGGTGTGTCAGGCCACCTCTGGGACAGCACAGCTGTTCATTCTCTCTCACAGCAGAGACCTTGCCTGAGCCCACATCAGGGGAAGATCTGACTAGGTGGGTTGAGAAGTTAGGGTTCATTTGGAGTACCAGGAACCCCCAATTCTGCATCCCCTGGGGCTTCCTGTGTTATTCTTTTTTCCGAGCTTATGTAGCATACAACATGGGGCAGGAAATAGGTCAATCAATAAAAATGAGCTGTGCCTTCTACAACCCAGTGTCCAGACGGCTCAATCGACTCCACCCTCTCTCCTTCCTCTGTTCCGTTTGTCAGTGTTGCTCAGTTTGCTCAGAGCCACTTTTTTTTTTTGTTTTTTTTAAGACTGAGTCTCTCTGTGTAGCCTGAGTGTCCTGGAACTTTCTCTTAGTTAAACATTTATATCTTAGCTTTCAGCTTTCATCACATCACAAAACTTATTTGGTTGAGGCGTATAATTTGGTTTGGTCGATCTTGTGTATTTTTATTGTTAAGATTTCTATTTTTCAATTGTAATCAATATTTTAATTCATTTGGTTTTTATCTTTTTATTTTTATTTTT